TTCCGGTGTCATGGCTGCCCTGACCACAACGTAGTGCTGAGAATTTCTGTCCCGGCTAGACTGCTTACTGAGACTTCTACGGCCTACAGGCCTCATGGAAGGACTCTTGCAGACCGGAAAGACACACAGTGATCTTTTAATATATTATGGAGGATGTCAAAGATGTAAGATCTAGCCAATTGCTCAGTACACACAATTAAGTTGCCATTTGACTCTTCCGGGAGAACATGGCGGACAGATAACAGCAACTACCGGCGGCTCTCTGAAAGACTCGGCTCAGAAGCCAGGAATGGTGCGGACTAAGGAGACATAAGCAGGTGGAGATATGCTCTGCTGACTCAGGAACGAACTGGGCTGAGAGAAGCCAACTTGGAATGCAGTCCTGGTGCTAAAACAGGAACAGAAAAGACTCGGTGTGGAGGCTGGAACCGCGCCATTGTAAGCGGCGATTTGGGTTTCCCGCCGCGCAGCAGCTGGCTGCCTCTACAGTGGCTCGGCAAGGGGAGAGACGTGCAGAAGCTCTGAGAACGGCAATCTGCGAACGGCAGGGAGGCGTGCACTGACTTATGGTGAGGTGAGTGAGAGAAACTGACACTCTACCACAGTTTGACTCCAGCAGAGGACTTTCTGGGCCCGAGCAGTCCTGCGGGAGCAGGGCGCGGTGGCGACTCCAGCCACACATCCTCCTCTCGGGCGGGATTGGTGAAAAGTGCCTGGCCTGCGTGACGCTGCCGGCGGACCTGGTAGACTGTCCCAACCCAGATCCCAGAGCCTGACGGTGGCCGGGAGGGGAGACGCGTAGGCTGCCTGGTCCGTAACTCCCTGGTGCGCAGCGGTGAGCGGGAACACCTAACTGGCGCAATTCGATCAGGCTGTGGCTGACTGGGAGAGAAGCTGGGCCTCTTATATAAGCTTGCATATATAAGGAACAGAGAAGAAGAGGCAGCATGGGAAGAGGCAGCAACAAGAAAGGCTCCTCGGCCCCCAATTCTGAGAAACAGGCAATAGCAGACACCGCACCAATACACATAAGGCACCATATAGAGAGCCTCATAGACCAATTCAGGAATGAAGTTATCAACGACCTGAAGCTAGAAGTATGCAGAATAGTTAGAGAAATGCTAAGCACCACCCAAGAAAAAACAGGTGGTGGAATGGAAGAACAGAAAAAAAGGGGAGAATTGTTTGATGGAGAAAACAGAGAAAGCATAGAATACGTGAAGCAGGTTCAAAGGGACTACCAAGATACTAAGAAGTCTATCGAAGACTGGCATAACAGCTTGAAAGAAACTAAGGACAGACTATCTGAACTGGAGGGCAGACTTGTAATATGGGAGAATGAAATGAAAAACTTCTTAAAAATAACAAAGAAACAAACAGCAATAATACAAAGACAAGAAGATGATAAGAGGATCCATAACTTAAGGATTAAGAACATAAAAGAAGAAGTAGGGATGCAAACAAGTGAACTACAAAAGCTACTCACAGAAATAATCCAGGAGAATTTTCCTAATTTAGCAAAAGGTAAAGATACTCAGATGTATGAGGCATACAGGACCCCAGCTACCTACAACCCAAACAGAGCAACACCCAGGCATATAATAATAAAAATTCCAGAAATTCAATACAAGAACAGAATATTAAAAGCTGTAAGAGACAAGAAACAGACCACTTACAAGGGAACACCCATCAGAATTACAGCAGATTTCTCTGCACAAACCATCAAATCACGAAGAGCGTGGGGGGAAATAATTCAAGCATTGAAAGATAATAATCTCCAGCCAAGATTGAGATATCCTGCACAACTGTCCCTGGAAATTGATGGAAAAACAAGGTGCTTCCAGGATAAAGAGGAACTGGGGGAATTTGCAACCACCAATTCAACTCTACAGAAAGTATTGCAGGATATTCTAAAAAAAGAAAAATACAAAGAACCCAGAAATAGTGGCGGGGAGGCCACAACAAATGGAGCAGAGAACAAAATGAAGAAGACAAACTGACAGCTACTGACAGAAAAAGAGCTTAACAGAAATGAGGCAGAGAAGATTGGATGATAGGAACAGCTATTTTGGAGAAAATGACATCTTAATAGGTAATACTGATTTAGTATCATCTTGTTTTGAAGTCTCATCTAGCTTTTGTCCTTCTGTCTCCAATGGTCTAAATAGGCTGTATCTTATTGGATTTTATTATGTACGATAGTATAAGCAAAAACCTTTTAAAGACAAGGAGATTATACAGAAACCATTGTTCATTTCCTGTTAGTCGATTCTAAATACTCTGTAATGCTGTCATTCTCTTGAATGGTTTTACATTGTTTTGATATACTTAATGCTACAGTATACGAAGTTGTACTCAAGGATTTCAAAGAAAGAAACAATATGGTAACTACTTTTAGGTTAGGATTATCTGGTGGTGAAACACTATTCTGCTTAAATGGTTATGTTTTGATCTGCGCTGTTTCGTTGTTATGCCCTCTTTTATCTCAATCTCCACTCCATTATTTACTTTTTTATTTTTATCCTTTTAATTAAAGGAAAAAAATAGCAGGATATATTATAGTAACCCATTTTGACTTTTCATTACCTTGATTTAAAGCCCTGTATTACTCTCACCATCTGGTTTTTAACTGATGTTCCCCTATTCTGTTTTGCTGGATAGTATCAGGTTCGAAAGTTTAGGCATCAGCTGTGAAGATAATGAGATTCATTATGACGCCCATTCTTGTTGACTTTTAGCTACTTTTGAAGACCTACAATGTCTCCAATGTTTTGGTTTTGTCGGTTTTATTCTTTACTGTTTTGTTCAATTGTATTATAACTAATGATATAGGCAATTCTATTAGAGATAGCGGGAGACATTATGGTAACCATTGTTGATCACCTGTATTATGTTTTTACATTATCTATTATGTCCACCCTTTTGACTTGACCGATTCTGTTCTGTTATGTCACATTTGGTTTTACTCTCTTCCAAAAAAGTAATAAGAACTGTGGGAGCAATGAAACCCAAAATGTGTAATAGTCATGGTACAAAAGAGAGGAAAAGAAAGTGCTCTAAACTATATAACTGCATGTATATTTAAGTGTATAAGATAGAAAATGATATCACAGAGTTTTATTGGATCAATGAACAGAACTGTTTGCAGTATCATTGATGGAATGTCCACTTTACAAGCTTTAATTTTGTGACTTGAACAATTATTTCTAAGATGACAATATGTAATCTATTAACTAGTGATTTCCTACTGTTCATTTTTTTTCTGTAAATCTGTATAACTTGTACCCTTTCCCTGCTTTTTTTTTCTTTTCTCCTTAAATAAAATTAAAAAAAAAAAACAAAAACAAAAACAACAACAAAAAAAAGAAACAAATACAGATAATTGTATTTTCCATAATGTCCAGAGAGACTAACCTACACCTGACTTTTTCCTACAAACTCCTTGGACCACACAGCCAGGGTCAGATGCGGTACCAATTCTACAGTCACTCAGGATGGTGTTATCCAAACTGTGGGTTTTGGTTCATCAACAAGTTGTAATTGACATTACTTCAATGTAACAGAAAACACTGTCTTAGGTAATGAGCATGATTTTGTGAAAACCACACATACAAACACACTCACACTCACACACAAACTATATGCTGGATCACAAGGGGAAATATATTTACCAAGAGTTTGAAAAATACTGACACTGTAGAACACAAATATTAATTTTTTGTCTTGAAGTTTTCAATCAAAGAGACTAATCTGTAGAATTATCTCATTGAAGTACACACTTGTCTAACACATTTGCTTTGTCCTACTGAATTCTAATATAACTGAAGTAGGTTTACAGCCCGAGTCTTTAGACTAAGCCATGACTAACTGCTGGTAATAAGACCTTCCTGCTGTCAGCAGTTAACTTATTGTCAGTGTTTAATTTATTGAGCAGTATGTTAAGCCAGGCATTGTCCTAGACATTTGATATAAACTATGCATCTTTCACTAGACCTGCAAGGTACAAGCTGTTTTCCTGACTTTACACAAGAAGCAGTGCCCCTCCGTGGGATATAGCAACTTGCCCCAAGGTCTCATGACCAGAAAAAGAAGAGCTGGAATTAAATCTCACACTATCAATGTATAAATTTTAGCTGAATTAGTCTCCATGCAGAATTCAGAAAACATGTGTTTAAGGTGAATGTTTCTGGCATGCGCTCCTTGGAAATGACACATAGGAAGTCTAAGGTGCACAGGCATCAGAAGAATGTAGAACACAGCACATCAGCAGGTGAAAGGATTTCAAACCCCTGAAGGACACCGCTGGATGTTCCGGGAGAGCTCCCATGCTGCATGTGAGAACGCAACATCTACCAAGGTGATGGCCAGATTCCCTGACATCTCAGGACTCAGGTGTTTTTACAGTTTCATCATTGCTGGCAGTCAAAGACCATGCTGGGAAGAGTTAAAAGAACCTTACTTAGAATTCTAGCCTAACATCATCTGGTAGAGTTGCATGCCACCATAAAGGGAGTTATTCAACGGGAAATGCTACCAGCTCCCTGCTCCCCGCAACATCAGATCCACCTGCACACAGTGAAGCAGAGACGTAGTCCAGAGAGTCAATGTAGCACACTTACAAATCCAAAGCATAAAAATTTGCTTGGCACAGCAAACCTGCTTTGTGTAGCAGCTAAATATAACCAAAATCGTATTCCACACTTTGAATTTCTACTTCTCTGAATTTCTAGGTTTACGAGGCAATATACATGTGATGATAGAAAAAGTGCATTTAAACATTTTTCTCACCACAAAGTCTCACTGGAGTCATACTAAATGGCAAAAGAGACATTTAAATTCTGTTAGAAAAATCTAAGACTTTTCGAAGATTTTTGACTCTTGCAGTTTTCTATGAATATAGTTGTCCATTATTTTCCTGCGACTTTTAACGATTCCTTTCCAAAGTTATGTAGTTAAACATGTAAGTGCCTAAGATCATTATGTCAAAACAGCTGATTTACCATTCCAATACATTTTCTGAGGATGCTCCAGATACTGAAGTCGTTTCTGGAAAACATAGGAGAAGGCAAGCTTGTTCTGTAAAAAAGAAAAACAGAGTTGATTTTAATGGCATTGGCAATGGAGAAGAAAAACCTATTGTCAATAATATTGAGGGGCAGGCACACACTAGAGAGATACTTCTAAACTGTGCACTGTCTGTACACAGCACAAAACAAAGCCCACTTGGGTCGTACCTGTTCCCTGTTTCTCTGGCGCCTGAGAAGTTCTGCAACAAATCAATGGGCCCCTGTCTTCGGTGTTGCAGGGATCTGAATTTCGCTAGTGTTTCCCGTCTGTGGGGTCCAGCTACGTGGACCACCTTTAAAGTACTCTACCCTTCCACGTGCCGGCACATTTAACCCTGTCTCATTCCACAACCACCTGACATCTTCTGACCTTCAACACACTGTTGTATTCTTTCTGCTAAATATTGTACAATCACAGAGCCTGAAGTTTATTAGAGAATTAAATGGAAAAACTGAAGTCGACTATGAAAGTCACAGTAAAAGGGAGGTGCTGCATCCCACATTGGTACTTCCCCAAGGGCAGTGCCATTGAGCAGGTCAGGTATGCTAGGAAACCCTTTACAAACTAACACATTCTGCAGGCCTGAATAGCCGGAGGTAGGTGCATAACTGTCCCATTGGCCAGCTTTAACATCAGACAGTGGAATTCAAATCAAAGTGCCTGGCAATGAGGCAAGAGTTACGACCCTATGGTAGGGTCGGGGTTACAGCTCAGAAACACAGCACCTGCCTGGCAAGCATGAGGTTGTGAGTTTGATTCCCTGTACCAAAACAAAAAAAAGACCCCATTGCGCAGGATAAACTCTGACCAAAAAAAGCAACTTCAAAGCCTCTACAGAGGTTAGGAAGTTTCTGGAAGGATGGAGCTGTAAGTGGCAGAGGCCTGTGGCTTAGATAAGCAGCACATGTCCTAATGCCAGGATTGCTGGGGAGGAGCTGAGCCATTCCAACAAATCAGATTGGGTTGGAGGACCCAGCTCCAAACACCAAGCTGGCAATCACCTGTGCTTACTCCAGGTGTCTGAGGTGATGTAAGAGAAGTTGGCTGTCCAGTACCGTGAAACATACTCATGTCACTGAAATCTTACACACTAACCAAATGTCATCTACAGAACCTCTAAACTTTATTTATCTCATACAAGTTAATATAATTTGATGGTTTTAATTATTTAAAATTCCTCACAGTGAAATTCTTCTGGCTTCCTCTTTGTCAGCAATACACACTGCTCATTTGGCAATTCTGCTATCTAACCAATCTGCTGGATAAGTGGCCACAGATGGTATTTAAATCACATTCTCTGCTCTCCAAGATTATCAATCTCTGTGACGCGAATAATAGATTCCAGGGATCCAAATCCTGCCATCATCTACCATGTGCGAGTACAAAGCAGCTTCAGAGATGTATGGTGGCTAAACTCCCCATCTCCTGCATAGGAAAACACCAGTCAGGAATGTAACATAGCTAAAAGCTGTGAATGCGAAATAAGCTTTATAAAGGCTGACCAAGGGCTATAATGACCCCCAACGTTTGTTTACATAAAATGGACAGGTATGTCCTTTTGTTCCAATTAAAGACAAAAACAGAAGAAAAGCAACAAATATCTCAGAGATATTTCTCTTTTTCTGTTTCAAAACCAAGTCTCACTGTGTAATTCAGGCTGCTTCCGAGTTTGGGATGATCAGCCTGCCTCAGCCTCCCAAATGTTGAGATTACAGGTGTGTGCTTCTAAATCCTACTCTTGAGGGCATTTGTGAAGGCAGAAGTTAACAGATATCCAGCTTTGTCTCAGCTTGCAAACTGTCACAGGGTTGCCACTAAGAGTTCTACCTGAATTTCATTCTTAAACATATTACCTTTTCATGCTATTTTATGAAAATGCAGTAACAGACTATGCGTGCTATTATATACTCCGAGCACAAGGACAGCAAAAGGACTTGGAAAGGTAAATGGCTGTCATAAAATCTACCTTATTTTCCTGTGTGGGGCACTCAGAGCCAAGCACAAACCCCCATCCACACCCCACAGTGTGTAGTAAGCTGACGAGAGGTGCAGGAGCACACTGGCTGCGGAACACAGACCCCATGTAGACGTCGTGCTTCAGTAAATAACCTCAGGTTGTTGACCACAGTCTAAGAGCCTGACGAGGCCGCCAGAAAGACAGGTGCAATCATGGACTGCCAAGCAGGGGCGGGGATGGCGGATCTCCAAGAGCAACTGGAGCCAGGGTTGAGACCCAGGTGCTGCTGGAAAAGGGACCATAACCCACTCAAGAAGATGCATTGAAGGCGATGCCAGAGTGTCTGAAAAACATTTCTGCTAAGCAATGCTAAAGAAAATGTGTACCCCAGAAGAAATACAAGAAATTGGAGGTCTAGAGAGCAGCAGGCACCATGTAGGTCCCTAACAGGGCAGGGCCTGGGTGGCAGGAGGGACCGCATCCCTGTCATCTTCCCACAGCCACCAGCACGCTCCCCTGCCCACTGCTTATGTGACACAGGTACAGTCTCCTGCTGCTTTTCTGTTGACTACAGCTCCTCACCAGTTGGTAGATTGCCGAGGACAATGCCTAACGGAGTCAGGCTGTTTGCTGAGTAATATTAGAATTTGGAAGATCGGGCCAGGGGGTTTAGCTCAGTGGCATAAGTGCCTGTCTGGCAAGTGCAAGGTTGTAAGTTCAGTTCCTGGTACAGAAAAAAAAAAAAGTGGAAGATCCGTTAGAGGATTTTCTTTCATAAAGAACCCAGTTTACTCTGCTACTCACCGGAGCAGGAGCAGGACTCCTGGTGAAATCTGAGGTCTGAACAGCTGGCATAAAGGCCAGTCTTACAGTAACCTCAACACCAAGAATAGGCAGGGTGCAGAAGGGTACTGCTTGGGGGCAGGATGCTCGTCAGGGATGCCAGGCTGCTGGACATCCTCCTGGGAACAAGACCACAGCTCCCACAGGAAATGTGCTACCCAGCCCCAGGTTCAACCATGCCCGAGGGCAAAGCCTGCCAGAGAAATACGAGCATGACACACAGAATCTCAATCGCTGTGGTCGTCAGGTTTAAAAATCACAGTAAGATAAACTAATTTTAGAAATATACTTTAGTCCAATTATTAGCCTTTCAACATATAACCAATGTAAAATTATTAATGAAATATTTAGACTTTTTCCATACTGTTTTCAAAATCCAGTACCTCTCTCTCTCAGACACACACACACACACACACACACACACGAGCACATCTCTATTCAGCTACTCTTCTCAACTGTTAAGTGCAATCCAGTCTTCACGATACAAAGAAGAGTTTAATGGAAGAATATACTATGATGCTTCCTATTTAACTCAATTCAAATGTAATCTAGAGAAACCTCAGTTTCTGTCACAGCACCACATTTCAAGTACCCAGAAGCCATGTGTGGCTGGTGGCTGCTGTATGGGACACACTCCATCTCACAGTCACTTCCTGAAACAAAAGAACTGTATCCTCAGCAGCCCACGGGAAAGCACAAACAGCAGCTCAATTACAGGAGCCTACAGAGACAGAAAAACAGTACAGTCTAACCATCAGCAGTGTGAAGAAGCAGAGAAAAGACAGTAAAGGAAAAAATAGATTAACTTAGAAAATAATTTGTATTGCAAGGATATATTGCTAAGGATACTGGATGCAGAACACAGGAGACTGCAACCGTGCCCCTCAGTCTGAAAGCACTGATTCTCTTCCCCTGGGCTGCTCTGAGGGTCATTATCCAGCATTCTATGCTTCCTTTTCTTCTCCACACAGAGAGAAAACACCCTGTACCAGGGACTGACCGTGCTGGGCTGTTTCTATTTTTGACCATACAGATGACATTATGACCATGGACACAAAACTCCAGTAACTAGGCTCTAACTGGAAGACTCTGCCATGGCAAAGGTCCCAGCTGATGTCCCACCATTATTCCCTCCTACAGACGGCGCAGGAGGAACTCCAGACCTAACCAAATCACCTTGTGCAGTGTGACTAACACAAGGCTGGGCTTAAATCTTCTCTACTGTGAAAAATGCTAGGCAAGGGCGGGAGCTCCTGCCCTGCCCACCTCCTTGACACCTGGGAGGCAGAATCCACACAAAAGGTTCTGCTGGACAGAGCTCTGAAATTTCCTTAGAACGTCACAGACCCCAGGACACCTACTGGACACCATTCCGACCTATGGACAAAGAATGCCACTTGCTCACAAAGACCCTTGGAAAGGACAGAGACCAGAGAGGCGAAATTAAGTTTGGGCAGGAATGTGGCGCCAGCCACACAGGAGCTGTTCTGCGTGGGGTATGGGCCTGTATAGATGTTCCTTAAATACCACCATACTGAGGGCTTCTCTGTGGAACACATTAAAATCATGGAAATTATGCAAATCTTCCAAGTCAAGGCTGCCTATCTAGATAATCTGCCTTGCTTGGACAGCTGGATATGTTCTTTTTTCAATTTTTATTAGGACATATTGTTTACATTCTTGTGTGGAATTGCCACATATGCACAAAATATCTTAATTCATTTTCTTCATTCCCTTTCCCTTGCCTCCCATTCATCTTTTTGATTCCTTCTTCTCTGATAAAGATCTATCTTGTTACTTCCTGTTATCTTTTATTTTGCTCTTCCTTTATACTTGGGTTTCTCATACAAGAAAAGCCAGGGGACAGCTCAGCTTGTCCGCCTTTCATCATCTCAAAATGTATCCACTTTCCTACAAATGACTTGCTTATCCTTCCTTACAGCACAATAGTACTCCACTGTGCGGAAACACCATGTTTTCTTTATCCATTCATCTGTTGGTAGAGATAGGCTGCTTCCATGATTTAACTCTTATAAATTGTTCTTCTATAAACACAAGTATGCATATATTGCTGTAATATAATTTCCTTAAATCTTTTAGGAAGACACCTACAAGGGAAACAGCTGGATCAAATGGAACTTCTACTTTCAGTTTTCTGATGAATCTCCATACTGATTTCCAAAGTAGCTGTACTAGTTGACATTCCCAC